TAAACGAATAATGTCAATATTTTTAAAATTAGAATATTTAAATATTATTTTCTTTTTTTCAGAATTTTCTTGAACAGACGTTGATCCCGAAAGTTGCCCCCTCCCCAGCATAAGACACTTCGAGGCTACTAATCAAAAACACCGCCGTTACTCGGGTGTTTTCCATAAGCATTAAGGCTCTGCGAAGAAGGCTCTTCCTTTTAAAAAATGATGCCACCTTAGGACTCAAAATTCTCAGTGTGTTGAAATGCTTTTTAAAAAAATAATAATACCTGGAAAAGACAGTCGTATATATTAAGCAAACGGCTTAAATCGCAATGACAGGAAAGTTCGAAACTACAGAAAGATTGCAAGGTATCCCGAAAGTGCGACACCTAAGACTGGAATGTCGGCAGCTGGCGTGCAAGAATTTTTCATATTTTGATTACTTAACATTGACGTTAAAACCGATCTAACTGTACAAGAGTGAAAAGTGTAAGACATTAATAAAAAAGCAAATAGACACAGAAATCAATTATTTCCTCTATTTTGTTTTTCTAAATTGTAAGACTATTATTTAATTGAAAACATTTAATTTCCCCAAATGCGTATTCAATTTAGAGTCCAATGTCTTAGGTAATATTAACCATATTAAATATTTTCGTAACGCATTTTTTTCAAAAATCATTTTTAAAATGCCTTTGGTCAGCAATGCGCCGCCAGTGCCGTTGATAAGCAAGAAAATCTTATCTATTACGGTATTGCCGATTCTGCCACGAATTTTGCTATCAAATGAAGAATGTGTGCAAAGAGTAGACATTAAAGGACAATGGACCAACACACTGTGCTCTAACATGTATTTTATTTAACTATGGGGCTGCGGTAGCCCAGTGGTTAAGGTATCTGAACACGGCAGGCATGTCATGAGTTCGAGCCCAGTACCACTAAGACCCGCCGTGTGGGCAGAATACCCCAAACTTCCCCCTTGGGTGTGGTGTGGAATTAAGAGGAGGGTGCCAGCTCAGGTGTCATCCACGTCACTTGACTATGGTTCAAAATTACGTGGTCCATCGCCAAAAGCCCTCGTGCAGCTGAACAGTGCGACGTTAATATTCACTCACTCATTCTTTAACTATGATATGCCATTGGAAAATCGAGACTTATTTCGATTTTTCAATATAACTATTTTAAAAAAATCAGCATATTTATTACACTTACATTAAGTTTTATTTTGAAAAATTCGCCAAAAAGCTAGTTAAATTGACAGAACTATACGCGGTCTACGGCCTCCCCTTGCTTTGGCGGCGTCCGCCCCGAACACCGGATCGCCCGGACATTTATGTTTATCCACGTAAGCCCCATGAAGCATTTTCTCGGAACCCTTTATCACAGGGTGGGCAACAAACTTTTCCAGAGTACGGGCTACTTAATTTTTTCAAGATACGGACACGCAGTGGTGGGATGAGTGAGAAAAAAAAAAAAAAAAGAAGCTCTACAATACTTATTATAACTTAATAATAAATATGAAATATGCACTTACCATCATAACTACGATAAATTTAATTTACACTTTTAAGATCGCGTGTAAAGGAAAACGCAACCTACACACAAACATAATAATAATAGTCACAAATATAATAATATCAAATGATGCATTTGTTACGAAAAAAAATTAAAATATATTAAACAATAAAACACACATTTTCCTCTAAAATTAGGGCTCATAGGGGTCAGTAGAAGCTTTAGTCTGTATACTGTCAGTCAATCTTGAAATATAAGTCAATATTTACTAACTGGTAATCTTCAGGTGGTCATTTCAAGATGTCTTGGGGGTCTACTGGTCGACCACGATCGACTTTATGTGCACACCTTTTTTTGCATGTGCGCATCAAAATTGCATAAAAAATACTGAGGAGTTCTGCATTTTGTTGTTGTGTTGTTGTTACTAATGACACCTGATTGGCAAAGGCCAGATCAAGGCCCACGAAATTCATCATGGCAAAGGGTTAAGTGACGCCTGTCGTTAGCCGTAGCTTTGAGCACCATACAGGAGACAGAAGGATTTAGCTCGGTGTCACCCCAATTTTGAGGGAATTGGTGTGGTCAGGGGCCTCCCATCTCTCTTCGTCTTCCACCAACCTCTCGAGAGGACTTGCGGCTCAACGGCTATTTAAAGTACCCCCAGCCGCGAATGCACTATACATTTACAAACATCCATATCTTCTCCGGGATTCGAACCCAGGTCCAACAGCACAGGTCTCAGATTGGTTTGATCTTTTTTAACGTCACACTCTAAGGCAACGCGAGGGCTATTAAGGTGAACCCCTTTTTGAACCTCGATCAGGATGAGGACCCCCTCAGCGGGATCTTTAAATTTCCCAACACCATGGGAGTACTTTGAGCCTCGAACGAATTTAACGTGCATCAGCTCCACTACAAGGCGAATCTACAATACTCTGCTGTCTTTTTGCTAGTGCTAGTCTTCCTTCCACGTGATTTATGGAATGTGGCACCTTCTAAAATAAAAGTCATTTTCATTAAAAAGGTTCTAATTATGAATTCATCCTGGATTCCGTTAATCCTAATGATTGATTCTGATCAGGACAATGAAACAAAATTATGAAATTATTGTACTGTCATTGGGGTCCTGGACAAGTAAGCAAAATTTGGAATCAATGTGACCTTTTAAAGTGGGTAAAAATTTAGTTTAAAGATTCCGTTACATACAAAAGTGAAGCTTACAAAAGGGTGTTAAAAAAGAACCTCTCACACAAGTAGCGCAAACAGAATTTTTAGAAGGGGGTCCTGAAAGTCCAACCTATTATTTTGATTTTGTCGATGTTCGGGAACAAAAAAAAGTAAAAATTAATTAATGAATGAATAATTAGCATTAATTAATAAAATTAATTAGTAATAAATACTTTGTTAAATTTTACGTACTATATACATAGGATTATAATCAATCGAAAAAATATCAAGGGCTTTGGGGAAGAGTCCGGACCCCCTCTTCCTTGTGTACGTCGCTGCACATACCTAGTACTCCCGTAGTAAGGTCTTATAAAATTAAGGTACACAACGATGAGGTTTGTCCACGTTTTTTTAGTTAACCTCCAAGATGATTGATTTTGTCGTCAATAATTCTGGTGAGCTCTTTTCAGCGATGTTAATATGTAATACAAAACCAAATCCACACAAAATCGTTCTTGATTATTGAATCGATAATAAAAAACAAAACAATTCAAATAATGTTGCTGTTTGAAACAAAACAAATCCACCAATGAGAAACAAGATGGGGAAAAACAATGATCAGATTTCAGATATCCTTCAAACATCCCAATCCACCATTGAACTGTGAGTTATATTGTAATCAATCTATTTCAAATCCCAAAGCCGAATGCTATTGTTAATAACACAATTGTAAACAGCCCTTCTTTTTGATTTGAAAATCATTTATAAACTCGTCCCGTTATCCGATTCGAGGCTACTTCTTTCTGATCCCGAGATTACTTCTGGCGGAATTATGGATTCGGTGAGGTCCACACCCGCGTTTCCGATTGGGCGGAAAAGGTTAAACAATTCTAATTACGCAACCACCTCGCTGCACACACAGTAGCACACATTTTTTCCCTTCTAAACAATCGCTTTTACCAGAATTGCTTTGTTAAGCTCCACTCGACACTTTGTACACGGTAGCAGAAAAATGTTTCAGAAAAGAAAAATAAGGCCAAGGTCGCCAATGGATTGAAACTGTTTTAAGGATTGGATTTTGAGCGGAGAAGAGCTGTATTGTTCCTGATGGAAATCCTGCTGATTTTTTTCTGCTTTAATGTGTGAAATAATTTTCTGATTCTCTTGATGTGTGTACCCGCCCAGCTGGAGAGCGTAATAACGCTAAGTGAAAATTCTTTTTGAGGTCACTGTGTTATGAGAGGGTGTGGGGATAGTGACGCCCTGTCTTGTATTGCGGATTTTTATAAATATTTGAGCAGACGCTTGGTGTGTATCAGACAATCATAAAAGCATCGATTGATGTGACATTGATCGTTCTCGCTCGTGTGGCGATGCAACTAGGCTGGAATTTACAACCAGGCTGACCCAGATGCGGGTTTTGTTTCGCGATAAGAAACCGTTTACGCCATATTTATTTGTTTTGTTGGGAGAAAGCTGTCGTGGAAAGGATTTAAATAATATTCGCGAAGGAGATATGAAAGGGGCATGAATTTTAAATAGGAATTATGCTGTTAAATAATGCTGTGTGCCACCCAGGCACCAATTATTAAAATGGCGTTACCTTGACTTGTCACTTGCTGGAAGAAACTTGCATTTATCACGATTCCCGAAGCTGTTAAGCTTGTCTGCCGAGACACTAGTTGGAGTACGATCTGTAGAAAAGATTAGTTTTGTGGAGGTGGAGTCACATGGGGGCGAAATCGGAGTAGGATAGATTTTTGGGTAAAAGGAGTTTGAGTCGGTAAAAACACGAAGATTCCGACTCCAGTTTTTGTTGAATGAAATTAAAATGAATTGAAAAAAAAAAATTAATATCAAACTGAGTTATTATTTTTGCTTTTTTTAAGGTTGTGTTTTCGGCTAATGTTAAAGAATAGGACTCAAATGATGAATATTTTTGAAGTTATACTTCTTTTGGGGCATTAGAGAAATAGGATGAGGGTAAATTTTTACAATGCGCGCGCACCCCGTCACGGATGTGACGCACACCGTCACGAATGCGAGAATCCTCTTTGTCTAGAAATATACAGAACGGGACAAATCATTCCCGCCTTCGAAATTCTCAGAAAAATGTTTCTCTTACTTACCTGAAGAAGGGGACACCCGGGTTTGAAACGGGATCTCCCAATCTGCAGTCGAATGTTATACCACTGAGCTATCCCTTCGCGTCAGCTAGAGACCTTGCTTGCTGTAGGAAACGGATTACGAAAATGCTTTGTCTACAAATATACAGAATGGGACAGATCATTCCCACCTTCAAAATCCTCAAAAAAAAGTTCTCTTCACTTCCCTGAAGAAGATTCCCGGGTTTGAACCGGGCACCATTCAATCTGCAATCGAATACTCTACCGCTGAGCTATCCCTTCACGTCAGCGAACCTTTGCTTTGCGTTCCGTAGGAACGGATACGAAAATGCTTTGTCTAGAAATATGCAGAACGGCACAGATCATTCCCGCCTTCGACCCCCTCCCCATATTATTGGTCCTATTGTCCCTGTGTGGGGGTGTTTAAAATGATTTAAATCGTGATTATCTCAGATTTGGCTGGTCGGATTGACTGAAGGTTAGGATCATTCAACTTTGCTCGTGACCACCTTTCGTCCTTGGCCCAGCTTGCCCTGCTAAAGATTTTTAGAAAGATTTTAATCTTGTTACGCTAAAGAAGTATAACTTCTTACGTGCGTACATAAGTACACACACACTTTTTTTTTCGTATATAAAAGTACTCAAACATTAATATTATATTCTGGCTTCACACTATATCCTGTAGAGAATCACTTATTTTATCATACTACTCATTTTTATACAAGTTGACACATTTTTTCTTTTATAAAATGTGTTTCGCATTTTTTCTCCTATACTATAACGCTAAATGAGCTATCCCTTTTCATGTTAAATGGAAAAACTAATTATTTATAAAATATTCTGTAATTTTATGACTATACTATAAACAAATGCATGAGTTACAATGTCACAAATTTTTATAAAAATTGAAGCATTTTTTTCTGTTCAAAAATGTACTCCGCGCTAAGGTCACGCTCTTGTACATATGGCGAAAACAGCCTTAAATTATGAATTAGATTTTGAGAAATATTAGAATAATATTGAAAAGGCTAAGGCAAAGCGAATGAAAAATAAAGAACCTTTAGATATGAAAATAAAAATAAAAAAAAATACACAAACAAGATTTCTCCACAGCCCTTGAAGAAATAGCAAACCTTGTTTATTCTTGCAAGATCCCTTATAGAACTTATACAAATCTATCCCGAAAAGTTAAAAGTAGCCCAGACAGTCACAAATCTTTCTCTTACTCAAGTTGATGTGGAAATACTCTATTCTCTCAGTTCTGAAGTTTATCAAATTCGATCTACGGTCCTCTATCAAAGACGATCTTGCCGAAGCCATACCGTTGTCTAGAAATTACTATAATGCCAATTTTCCCATTTCATAATAATAATAGGAATAATCTGGTGCTATGCCATCAATTTTTTTTCTATATATAGCATCTGTTACTTATTTTATGTTTAAAAAGCTGTAACACATATCTATATGTTTACATGTATAATGAGGAAGTCGTAGTCTCTTAAGCTTAAAATTCCAGGAGTCAGAGTCGGTCATTTTCCCTAACGACTCCACAGCCCTGGTTTTTGATTAAAATATCCTACTAGAAATTAGTATTGTACTAGAAATATACGTACTAGAGTTAAGGTTAGTGGCGCACACAAGAAGGGGGTCCACAGTCCCCCCTTTTTATCCCCTGATTGATTATAATCCTATGTACGAGTATTTAGTACTTAAAATTTAATTATTTGTTATTAATAACTTGTTTTATTAATGAATGCTAATTATTTACTCAATAATTTATTTTTATTGTTTTTTAATTTTTTTCCTAACAATCACAAAATCAAAGAAAACGTATTGGGTATCATAAAAGTTTTGGACTTTTGACCCTCGATTCCTTTTCCTGTTGTG